TCTATAAACATGTACATCCTGAAGTCTACTCAACAGTCTTTTATCTACCAATACATAATCCAACAAACTACAGTCATTTCGCCCTATATCATATCTTGTATACTTATTTATCCTCTTTTTCTTAAAATATGTATTACCTATAACTAAACCCCTTTCTATACAAAGTTCAATCAAAGGGCTCCCATTATCATTTACACCTGGCACCCCAAACTTACCTACCACACCCTCTCTAAAAGTTTCTCCTACTTTAGCATTCAGATCCCCTACCACAATTACTCTCTCACTTGGTTCAAAGGCTCCTATACATTCACTTAACATCTCCAAAAATCTCTCTCTCTCCTCTGCATTCCTCTCTTCTCCAGGTGCATACACGCTTATTATAACCCACTTCTCGCATCCAACCTTTACTTTAATCCACATAATTCTTGAATTTACACATTCATATTCTCTTTTCTCCTTCCATAACTGATCATTCAACATTACTGCTACCCCTTCCTTTGCTCTAACTCTCTCAGATACTCCAGATTTAATCCCATTTATTTCCCCCCACCGAAACTCCCCTACCCCCTTCAGCTTTGTTTCGCTTAGGGCCAGGACATCCAACTTCTTTATATATTATATATACATTATATATTATATATACATTATACAACTTCTTTATATATTATATATACATTAAATATATATTATATATATATATATGTAATATATATACACACACAATTTGTTTATTGACATTTCGGATGTGTTTTCATCCGTCATCACAATAAGATTTATAGTAATCCAGGTCAATTTCAGTAATCTTGATTTTTAAAGTTAAGCCTCTCTAACTTCCGATCAAATCTTCATTTATATCCAGGTTGAAGAAAACCAACTTTAAAATCAATAAGGTTTTACTAGACCTGGAATTCCTTTAAGTTAATTCTGATAATGGATGAAGAAAACGCTTGAAGCTTCAATGACGAACCAGATATTTTTTATAGCTTTGGTTCTGCTTTTTGTAGTGAACATTCTTTTCCCATTTGAAACCGAATGACTGATGAAGGGAATACTGTGATGTGACCTGGACTTGAACCCAGGCCTGATCTGAGATAAATGATTTCTCTCGTTTTGCGAATCGTTAAGCATTCTAAAATCTCCCATGGGTCAGTGACGAAGGGGAAACAACTGGAACACAAGCCTAGTGTCTGGTGCAGTGATTCTCAACCGGGGGTAAATTTACCCTTTATGGGTAAATTTACCCTTTATGGGTAAAAATTACATGACAAGGGTAAATATTTGTGTGCTATTTTTGTGCAAAACCTGAATAATTTATTTTTTCTCTGACCTTGTTTTTCTGTCCCTTTATGATGGCTATAAATTTTTGTATGGACGTAAGGGGGTAAATGGAGAACTGCATCAAGTCGACGGGGTTAATGATGGAGGAAACGTTGAGAATCTCTGGGGCCCCCCAAGTACTAGGTCTACTGAGCACTCCTGGTTTTGCGAGGCCTGGCTTTGTAGTAGACTATTGCGCACATGGATGCAGAGTATGCAGGTTTGAGTCTTGTCCTACTCTTAGTTTATATATATATATATATATATATATATATATATATATATATATATATATATATATATATATATATATATATATATATATATATATATATATGCAATAAGATCACAGTAAACAGGTGATTTCAAAATATGCAAAACAACCACTCTGAAAGAATAGAGAAATTCCAAGCGCTTTCGTGACTACTCACATTATCATTGATAATGTGAGTAGTCACGAAAGCGCTTGGAATTTCTCTATTCTTTCAGAGTGGTTGTTTTGCATATATATATATATATATATATATATATATATATATATATATATATATATATATATATATATATATATATATATATGTCGTGCCGAATATGTAAAACTGGTCAATTAGCAAGAACTCATTTAAAATTAAGAGTCCTTTCTAAAATTTTCTCTTACACGTTTAAAGATATATTTTTTTCGTTAATGTTAATGTAAAGATTTTTAATTTTGCACCAAAAGAATCTTAGAAAACTTACCTAACCTTATTATAACAAGAACAATTAATTTTAGCCTAACCCAGCTAAATACATTTAAAAAATGTTTACAGTAATTTTGTACTAAACAAACACAATCAAATATATTTTTTTTCGTTAGGTTCAGAATGATTTTGGCGAAATTATTGCATACACAAATTTTCACTTGTCCTATATGGCAAGATGAGCGTTGCTATTTAAGCCAAGATAGCAAGTTCTGCCTATTCGGCACGACATATATATATATATATATATATATTAATGTGTGTGTACTCACCTATTTGTGGTTGCAGGGGTTGAGACAACATAACTCCTGACCCCGACTCTTCACTGATCGCTACTAGGTTCTCTCTCTCCCTGCTCCATGAACTTTATCGTACCTCGTCTTAAAACTATATATGGTTCCTGCCTTCACTACGTCACTTTCCAGACTATTCCACTTCCTGACAACTCTATGACTAAAGAAATACTTCCTAACATCCCTCTGACTCATATGAATCTTTAACTTCCAATTGTGACCCCTTGTTTCTGTGTCCCATCTCTGGAACATCCTCTGTCCACCCTGTCAATTCCTCGCAGTATTTTGTATGTCGTTATTATGTCTCCCCTAACCCTCATGTCCTTCAGTGTCGTCGGGCCGATTTTCCTTAACCTTTCTTAGTAGGACAGTATCCTTAGCTCTGGGACTAGTCTTGTTGCAAAAGTCTGCACTTTTTCTAATTTCTTGACGTGCTTGACCAGGTGTGGGTTCGTGTGTGTGTGTGTGTGTGTGTGTGTGTGTGTGTGTGTGTGTGTGTGTGTGTGTGTGTGTGTACTCACCTAGTTGAGGTTGCGGGGGTCGAGTCCGAGCTCCTGGCCCCGCCTCTTCACTGATCGCTACTAGGTCACTCTCCCTGAGCCGTGAGCTTTATCATACCTCTGCTTAAAGCTATGTATGGATCCTGCCTCCACTACATCACTTCCCAAACTATTCCACTTACTGACTACTCTGTGGCTGAAGAAATACTTCCTAACATCCCTGTGATTCATCTGTGTCTTCAGCTTCCAACTGTGTCCCCTTGTTACTGTGTCCAATCTCTGGAACATCCTGTCTTTGTCCACCTTGTCAATTCCTCTCAGTATTTTGTATGTCGTTATCATGTCCCCCCTATCTCTCCTGTCCTCCGGTGTCGTCAGGTTGATTTCCCTTAACCTCTCCTCGTAGGACATGTGTGTGTGTGTGTGTGTGTGTGTGTGTGTGTTTCATGTTTTTTTTCTATACATCAAGTATCACTACCTGGAGAGGGTTTCGAGGGTCAGCGCCCCCGCGGCCCGTTTTGAGACCAGGCCTCATGGTGGATCAGGGTCTAATCAACCAGGCAGTTACTGCTGGCCGCACGCAAAGTGACGTACGAACCACACCCCGGCTGGTCAGGAACTGACTTTAGGTGCCTGTCCAGTGCCTTCTTGAAGACAGCCAGGAGTCTATTGGTAATCCCCCTTATGTATTCTGAGAGGCAGTTGAACAGGCTTGGGCCCCGGACACTTATTGTGTTGTCTCTCAGTGTACTCGTGGCGCCCCTGCTTTACACTGGGGAAATGTTGCATCTCCTGCCGTCTTTTGCTTTCATAGGGAGTGACTTTTGTGTGCAAGTTTGATACTAATCCCTCTAGGATTTTCCAAGTGTATATTATCATGTATCTCTCTCGCCTGCGTTCCAGGGAATACAAATCAAGGGACTTCAACCTTTCCCAATAATTTTGGTGCTTTATCATACTTATTATGTGTGCCGTGAAAGTTCTTTGTAGACTCTCCAGGTCAGCATTTTGGCCTGCCTTGAAGGGGGCCATTAGTGTACAGCAGTATTCCAGCCTAGAGAGAACAAGCGGTTTGAAGTGTGTCATCATGGGCTTGGCTTGAAGGTTCTCATCATCCATCTTATCATTTTTCTAGCAGATCCGGTAGATACGTTGTGGTCTTTGAAGGTGAGATCCTCTGACATTATCACTCCCAGGTCCTTCACATTACTTTTCGCTCTACTGTATGGTTAGAATTTGTTGTATACCCTGATAGTTTTAATTTCCTCAAGTTTTCCATATCTGAGTAGTTGAAATTTCTCTTCACTGAACTTCATATTGTTTTGAGTGGCCCATTTGATGATTTGGTTGATGTCCGCGGTGTCTTCGATGGAGAACACTTGTCATGGCAATTCGGGTGTCATCCGAAAATGAAGACACGGAGCTATGGCTTACATATCTGTCTATATCAGATATGAAGATGAGGAACAGGATCGGAGTGAGTACTGTGCCTTGTGGAACAGAGATTTTCACCGTAGCTGCCTCAGACTTTACTCTCTATTACTCTTTGTGTTCTATTTGTTAGGAAGTTATAGATCTACCAACTTTTCCTGTTATTCCTTTATCACGCGTTTTGTGTGCTGTTACACCGCGGTCGCACTTGTCGAAGGTTTTCGCAGTCTTTGTATACTACATCTACAGTTTATTCTCTATAGCATCCAGGACCTTGTCATAGTGGTCCAGTAGCTGGAACAGGCAGGAGCGACCTGATCTAAACCTGTGACGCCCTAGTTTGTGTAACTGATGGGTATCTAGGTGGTTGGCGATATTGCTTCTTAGAACCTTCTCAAAGATTTTTATATGGGATGTTAGTGCTATCGGTCTGTAGTTCTTCGCAACTGCTTTACTGCCACTTTTGTAGAGTGGGGCTATGTCTGTTGTTTTTAGTGATTGTGGGATAACCCCTGTGTCCATGCTCCCTCTCCATAGAATGCTGAAGGCACGTGACAGGGACAGGGGCTTCTTGCAGTTCTTGATGAACACGGAGTACCGACTCAAGGGCATCTAATTAAGGCCTACTATAATTCCTATATACATATTAATCATTTCTGTTCATTTAAGTGAATATATTAACATAAAAATACATAAATAATTCTGGCTTATTTCTCCAGGTACTACTGCTGGCTGCGGCTGTAGTCTTAACAAGATCAAGAGCAGACAACTACAACTCCTTCCTGGCTGGCAAAGATCAAACAAAATATGACATAACTTATCCTAACCCGTCCTTCAATTACCAATATCAAGTGAACATACCTGACACAGGTGACCGAAAGTCACACGAGGAATCTCTGAACAATGGTGTCCTAGTGGGCTCTTACTCTGTTCTCCAGCCTGACGACGTTTTAAGAACAGTCAAGTATCGTGCTGATGATGTATCAGGTTTCAAGGCAGAGGTCCAGTACGAGAGAGTGAAGGGAGGTTCAGCGTCGCCTTCAGCGTTCCAAGCATATTCAACATCAGCTTCTAGATCACAAAATTTCAAGAGGCTGGACACATCTTCGGCCTCTGGATTCGGTGGATTTACTGGTTCATCTGTACGACCCAGTGCATTAGTGCCTGAGATATCATCCAGGAGCTCGTTCACTGAATCTACAGGAGCGTCCATAAGATCTGCCTCTAATACTCTTTCTTCTGGTTTTAAATCAGATTTTTCTAGATCCCAGTTTCCTCCTCCTCCTGTTACTGGGTCTAACGTTCTTTCCACCTCCCCATCCGAATTTAGATCCACTTCTGTATCCAGCTTCGGCGCATCCCCTGAAGCATACACAGGTTTCCCTACGTCTAAAATAGGTTCTTCATCAAGCTCCAGATTTAGATCTGCTTCCAAGATTGGCTATTCTACCGGATCAAATACTGGTTCTCCTGGTTCCAACTTCAAAATCACCCCAAGTTCTAATTCTCATCCTTCGTCTGCATCGAAAATCAGTTTCTCTGGTTCCATTATCGGGTCTTCCACTGATTCTAACACTGGCTCTTCTGACGATTTTAATTTCAGTTCAGGTGGATTACATCTAGGATCAATTTCCAGAAGCTCTGGTTCTGGAATTTCTGACTCTTTCCATAGATCTAACACTAGATTTTCTGATTCTAGTGTTAGTTCCTCTGGATTGCATGTAGGTCCATCGAGAGCCACATTTGGAGCTGCCTCTAAACCAGGTTTTACATCCTTTGGCTCCTCTGTTGGATACAGTATTGGCTCTTCTGAGTCTAATTTTGGATCTACAGGATCACGTAAAGGCACAGCTAGCACTGATTTTGAGCCTTCAGTAAAATCTGGCTCCGGTTTTTCAGGGTCTTTCACCGGATCAAACACTGACTCATCCGGTTCTAGTACTAAATTTAGTAGTTCACATCCAGGCACATCTAGCACAAGCTTTGCACCTTCTATAAGATCTGGTTCTGGATTTCCAAGTTCTTCCACTGCATCTAACGTTGGATCTCGTCAAGGTGCATCCCGCACTACTTTTGCAACTACCTCGCAGACGGGTTCAAGGTTTCCCAGCTCTTCCTCAGCATTTGCCATTGGTTCTTCACATGCTAGTTTTGGTTCCTCCGGATCACAGCCAGTTTCGTTCAGAAACAGTTTTGGAGCTGACGTAAAACTAAGTCCTGCAACTTTTGGCTCCTCCACTGGATCTAACATTGGCTCCTCCCATTCTAGTTTTGGCTCGATTAGATCACGGCTAGGTTCATCTGGACATTCACCGGCATCTAGTTCAGAGTTTTCAGGTTCCTCCACCGGATCTAACATTGGTTTCTCCGACTCTACTTTTGTTTCCAGTGGATCTCGTCTGGGAACATCTAGAACTAGTACTGGATCTTCAAGATCTGACTCAGGATTTTCAGACTCTACCACTGGATCTAACACTGGTTCCACAGATTCTAGTTTTGATTTCAGTGGTCCACACCTGGACATACCTAGCACTAGTTTTGAGTCTTCCTTGAAAATTGACGCCAAAATTGCCAGCCCTTTCACTAGATCTAACAGTGGCTCTTCGGAATCTAATTTTTCATCTTCTAGATCTCATCTAGGCTCCTCAAGTGACAGTTTTGGGTCAACATTGAAAGCTAACTTTGGATCTTCTGACTCCATTTCTTCTGGACCAAGTTTAGTTTCCTCAAGCTCTGCTTTCAACCACTTTTCAAGATCTAACATTGAATCTTCTGGCTTTAAGCCAGGTTCTTCCACCGAGTCAAGCTTCAAACCTACCTCCAATGCTGGTTCGTCAATTGAATCAAACTTTAACCTTTCTAGTTCCACTGGGCCAAATTTATCTTCGCCTAGTTCTGTTTTGGAACCTTCAGAGTCTTCCTTGGAATCGTCTAGCCTAAGGTCTGTCTTTTTTGCTGACTCCAATGTTGAATCTGCTACCTTAAGGACAAGTTCTTCCAGTGGATCAAACTACGGCTCTCCTCATTCTAGCTTCGGAACTTCTACCGGATCTGAAGTTGTCTCTGCACCAAGTTTCGGTTCACTTACTGGATCTAACAATGGCTCTCCTGGATCAAGTGTGAGTTCTACCGGTTCTAGATTTAATCCTGGATCTCTTTCAAAGCACGGTTTCGGGTCATCTACTGGATCTACATTTGGATCTTCAAGATCTAATTTAGGCTTTTCTGAGTCAAGTTCCCCATCCTCTACGGGATCCAATTTTGATTCTCCTAATTCTAATTTTGACTTTTCGAAATCAAGTGTCAGAACATCTGGTTCTAGGTTTGACTCTTCAAGACTGAATGTTAGTTCATATAGATCAAGTTTAGATTCTAAAAGCTCCAGACTTGGATCTTCCAGAACTAATTTTGCTTCTTCCAGGTTTGACTCTTCCAGCTCTAGTCCAGGATTATCTTTATCAAATATTGGATCTTCCAGTGGATCACAGCTCGTGTTTCCTGGTTCTACATTGCACTCTTTCGACAGTAATATTGGATCATCAGATTCCAATTTTGGTTCTTTTGGACCAAACCTTGGATCACCTAGTTCTAATTTCGGGTCATCTGGAAATAATCTTAGCTCAACAGATTCCAGATTCGGCTCATATGGAACCCCTCGTGTATCATCAGGTTCCAGGTTGGGCGCTTCTGGAACGATCCTTGGATCACCTGATTCCAAATTTGTCCCTTTTGTAACTAATCTTGGATCAGAATCCAAGCTTGCTTCTGGATCAACTGTTGGATCAACTGGCTCAAGATTCGGCTCTTCTGGTACAAACCTTGGATCAACTGGCTCAAGATTCGACTCTTCTGGAGCGACTGTTGGATCAACTGGCTCTAGACTCGGCTCTTCTGGTACAAATCTTGGATCAACTGACTCGAGATTCGGCTCTTCTGGCACAAACCTTGGATCAACTGGCTCAAGATTCGACTCTTCTGGAGAGACTGTTGGATCAACTGGCTCTAGACTGGGCTCTTCTGGTACAAATCTTGGATCAACTGACTCGAGATTCGGCTCTTCTGGCACAAACCTTGGATCAACTGGCTCAAGATTCGACTCTTCTGGAGAGACTGTTGGATCAACTGGCTCTAGACTCGGCTCTTCTGGTACAAATCTTGGATCAACTGACTCGAGATTCGGCTCTTCTGGCACAAACCTTGGATCAACTGGCTCAAGATTCGACTCTTCTGGAGCGACTGTTGGATCAACTGGCTCTAGACTCGGCTCTTCTGGCACAAACCTTGGATCAACTGGCTCAAGATTCGACTCTTCTGGAGCGACTGTTGGATCAACTGGCTCAAGATTCGGCTCTTCTGATACAAACCTTGGGTCATCAGATCTCAGTTTTGGCCCTTTAGGAACTAATCTTGGATCAGGTAGCAATTCTGACGCTTTTGAAAGAAACCTTGGTTCACCAGGTTCCAGATTTGACTCTTTTGGAACGAAGTTCGATTCAACAGGCTCTAGTTTTAGCTCTTCTGGAGCCAACCTTGGTTCTTCAATCTCCAATTTTGGTTCTTCTAGTACGACCCTTGGCTCAACAGGTTCTGGAACTAACCTTCGATCATCAGATTCTAAATCTGGCTCTTTTGAAATTAGCTCCAGATTACCCGATTTCAGTTCCGGTTCTTCCGATACAAATCTCAAGTCATCAAATTACAATTTTGTTTCATCTGGGACTAATATTAGATCAAATTCCAATTTTGGCTCTTCTGGATCTAACCTTGGATCATCAGGTCACGGCCTTCGTGTCGAATCTAATCATGAATCATTAGGTTCTAGTTATAAATCTTCAAACATTGGTTCTCCTGCTACTTCTAACTTCATTTCAGTCTCTCATTCCAACTTTGGCTTGTCTTCTGAGACTAATCCTACCGGCAATTCTTTATCCGGATCAAATAAGGGATTTTCTGGCTCAAATACTCAATCAAACATTAAGCCATCGGACTCATTTGATTCTTCCATTAAGTTTGAACCCACACTGAACTCTGGGTCTAGCTTGGAACACTTTGATTCCTCCAGTGGGACCAGATTTGGATCGAATTCAGGCTCTAATTCGAATTCCTTTGGTTCTTCCTCTGGGTTCACCTCCAGACTGAATTTTGATTCCGGCTTAGGAGCTCCTCAGGCCACCACAGCATCAGTTGGAAGAACTTCAGTTCCTGGCGGAGCGTCCGTGATACAGGCAAAGGAAGGAGTCTTGAGTCAGCGATACGGCAGTCTCTCTCGGGCTACGGGATTTTAACTTTAGATTCTGAATTCTTGTAAAACTAATATTGCTGTGGTGGCCCACATTTCAGGGGCTTGACTTAACTTATTTGTGTGTCTCATGTATATTACAAACTGAATCAGAGGATACAGTCGACTGGCTTCCTTTGAATATCATCTCTCCTAACGATTCTATATCATTAAATTAATTATTACTTAATTGCAGAAAAAAAGCTATGGCATAGAACCATCATTATGTAATTCAAAGATAGCAACCCAGTCATTATGCAATCCAAAGACGGGAATCCAAATTATATAATCCAAAGATAGCAACCCAGTCATTCTGAAATCCAAAGACAGCAACCCAATCACTATGTAATCCAAAGATAGCAACCCAATCACTATGTAATCCAAAGATAGCAACCCAATCATTATGGAATCCAAAGATAGCAACCCAGTCATTATGTAATCCAAAGATAGGAACCAAGTCATTATGTAATCAAAAGACAGCAACCCAATCATTACGTTATCCAACGATAGGAACCCAGTCATTATGTAACCCAAAGATAGGAGCCCAATCGACTGCGTTTTCTATGGTATGAACAGACTAGTTCTTAACTGATATTTCACTCCAACTCTCAATTCCCTCATATTTAAACGTGATGTAAACAATTACGTGAAATACAATAGGCCAACAAACACAATATTGAAGCTACGTATTAAGATGATGCACATCCTGTTTAATTATGTTCACCAAAACACGATGTATCAAATAAATGTAAACGAATATTTTCCGTATTTTTATACTTATCTGAGTTATCTTCATATATCATAATACCTATGACGCAACAAGATCACAAGAAACGAGTGACATCTTAATATGCGATATAACCACATTCTCATTATTCCTAGAGAATGTCACCAAGAGAAAGCGAAAGCCCTTGCAATTTTATCATTCACTGTGGTTATATTGCACATGATACTTATGTGATAATACAGTCTATTAAAGATGCTTTATTCGTTTTATTAGAGATGCAAAAAAGGCATTTATACTTAAAAAATAGTGTTTTATATGAAGTCTTTATTTCTTTTCGCTCTTCGAAGTTTTATCAAAATTATCACAATAAGGAGTTAAACCCGTGTGGCACTTCACGGTAGAAAGTGGTATTAGAGACGCATGGGGCAAGTAGAATACAGAGGGTGACACAGTACAACAAATTATATATAATAGGCACCAAATGTCACTTATGGACACATCCCTCTAAATCGGTCTCTTCTGATAGGATATTTTTCAGGAAGCCTGGTCTGGGACCGGGCCGCGGGGGTGACTATGGGTGACCTACACTGAAGACGCTTCTTGCAGAGGACACAACAAAACGCAGGTCATCGCGAGGTTAAAAATAAATTCGGCGTGCTACTCTTTGAGTAACGGGATAATCTTATCGATAGATAAAGAATATAAGTAACAATATAGTGGATGGAACAATTCACAAATAACTCTCACTTACAGAGAAAATTTTGAACAAAGTTTTCGGTCCGTACTGGACCATTATCAAGTTACAGCTTAACGGGATCAGAAAAGACCGGAAGACAAGTCGGGAAGACGAAGGGGGATGAAGTAGTATCACTTTATTATTAGCAATAGTAGTAGTAGTAAAGGGTGTGGTAGTATTAATAACGATAATAGTAGCAGTAGCAGTAACATCAGTAAAATGATAATAGTAATAATAATGGTAGTATTTTATATAGTAATACTTTAAGATCATCTCGTAAAACAGTTCCAAAGAAGCCTATCAGAGGAAGAAAATATAGACTTAATTGAGCAGATTGCTACCTAAGAAACCCGACTTGACCTCAAACTCTCAGAGTAGCACTACAGAGGATCTACTGGCCCTCGCTACACCAATAATTTACCACGTTTCTGTACAAACGTGTACATATTTTATATATTTTACTGTTTATTGTAGATCAAAGCTAAGGGACTAAATGGCTTCAAACTTTTTTATTTATACCCATGGCTAAGGAACCGAACACCTTCAGCATATATTCAGGAAACTGTCGTGGGTCAGCAGGCCAGATGCCTTGTTTCTCTATTCTATGCTTATATTCTTGTTTACACCTATAATATACACTCATTGGCCACTTTAATATGTAATTAGCCAATCACGTGGCAGTATTTCAGTGCCTAAAAGTATGCTAACATGGTCAAGAGGTTCAGTTGTTGTTCAAGCCAAATATTAGAATGGGGAAGAGATGTGATCAGAGTAGCTTTGACTGTGGACTGATTGTTGGTGCCAGACGGACTGGTCCGAGTACCTGAGAAACTCCCTATTTCCTGGAATTTTCACGCACAACAATCTCTAGAGTTTATAGAGGTCAGAGAATGGTCAGACTGGTTCAGGCTGACAGAGGGTGACATTAACTCAAATAACCATGAATTACAACTTTAGTATGCAAAAGAGTATCGCTGAATGCACATGTCGAACCTTGAAGAGGATGGACGACAGAAGCACGCCACACCTGATTCCACTCCTGCCAGCTAAAAACAGGTCAGTGGGCCTGCGGTGGGCACAGCATCACCAAAACTGGTCAGTTGAAGATTGGAAAAACTTCGCCTGATCTGGCCAATCGCAATTTCTGCTGCGTCATGCACATGGTAGTCAGAATTTGGCCTAAACTACACAAGTCCATAGGTTCATCCTGCATGTGCAGCCTACAGATCATGTTGCATGATGCTATCATGTCAACATGGACCAGAATCTGTACGGAATGTTTCCAGCAACTTGTTGAATCTACACCACGAAGAATTCAGGTTGTTTTGGGGGCAAATTGGAGCCCTACCCAGTATAAGAAGGGTGTACTTAACAAGCTGGCCTTTGAGTGTATGTTCCTCTTTCCTGTCACTATAGTGTGTTACCAACGGGTAGAATTTATTAAGACCTAATAAAAGCCTGCCGTGCAGGCGAAACGTTGTCCGAATAAAGTTTCCGGTTGAACTTTCCCAAGTTAGTTTTAGTTTAATATCTTCATTCTGCACGCCATACCCATCCTGTGCGTGGTAGTCAATGGATTACAGTGGTACATAGTGGGTCCAGGGACTGGACCCCAAAGTTTTGATAGCTGAGCAAAGTACAAAAGTAATGAACTCCAGGTAGATCTGGTCATAATCATGACCAAGTTACAACGGTAATGAATCATCCACACCTCCCAAAGGGGGAGGGAAAAAGTATGATACAGGCTGGACGTAAAGGAGGGGTAAATTAAAAGTTGCCAGTTCGAACGCAAAGATTCAAGGGCCATAAACAATGGGGGTCGACAATTAAATCAATCTATCTTGCTAACACGTGTGATTCTATACGTAAAAGGATCATGAAAATCATGGAAGCACACAAAAAAAACGAAAGCAATGATATTCAGAATTGTTTCTGCATCGACTCTAAGCCAGGGAATATCGAAAAGCCTCCAGACAAATGTAATCTCAGATGAAGGCATTAAGTTTATTAAGAGTAGCCGAGGACACTGAGAAATATACTTGATATCCATAATCAAGCTTAGACAAGATCAAGGATGATCACTTCCTGTAAAAGTGTGAAGGACTGAGCACCTCAAAATTACTTCTGCTGTCTCCGGTTTTGTATGTCTGTATTCGACTAAAGAAGCCTCTTGTTCAGGCGAAACATTTTGGCTGTTATTCACTTCAACACTAAAGTGCCTGATAGGAAATCTTTAAGGGAAAAAATATAATTTGCCTTGTAGGCCTAAGTGGTCGCATTACCCACATTATAGAACTAAGTAACTCGCAGGTGTGCACCAGTGTTCATTTATCTGTACAGCTGATGTTCACAGTGAATTTTTTATATCAGTTATATTCAAACGTCTCCTAAACTTGTGTGAATTATATTTAGGGGGTAAAGTGCTAAACACTGGCATCATGGACCCCCCCCCCTCTCAGAAGTGCTGAATCTGATTCTCACAAGGATGAGATTGACGGTTAATATGTATTTTGTGTCGTTACTCTCCAGTAATGACACACTAAATAATAAATACACATTTCATGTATATACATACATATATATATATATAATAATATTATATAATATATATATATATATATATATAATATATATATATATATTATATATATTATATATAATATATATATATTACATTTCATGTGTGTATATATCAGAATCTCCACGACTATGGTGCTGTTCGCACCTACTCCTAGGTTGAGGGACTGATTACCTCATCTTCTGTACATAGTTCTACTGTCTTTCAAGTTATGTCCTAGAATTTGTATTGATAAAGCCACTGGATGGCGAAACGTCTACTACAATAAAGATATCCAGATGTTGCACATGTGTCTTAACTTTAGTAGTCGTTTTGATAAGGACCTGCCTCGCATGGGCCAGTAGGCCTTCTGCAGTGTTCCAACATTCTTATGTTCTTACTTTGTTTATTTTACCCCCCCCCCTTTCCCTCGGTCTCAGGTGTTGGTTCCCTATATTAAAAAATACATTGGCGACAAATGCAACAACGTGTACTTAGCTCAGTGGTGACGTGTACTTAGCTCTGTGAAGACCTGTTTGTGTGCTCTTGAGTGGTGACCTGTACTTAACTCTGTGAAGTGTCTTGTTTGCTCCCGTGGACTGAACCAAGATGCCCTCCATCGAGCAACTTTACCAGCAACTTAAGGAAGAATTGAAAGCAGCGAAGATGGAGATACGGCGATTGACCGAGGAAAACAAGAGGATTCGTAGTAGTCCTCCTGTTTCGAGTCCTCAGGTCAAGAAGGGATCGTGGTCAGTGGCTGGACAGCAGGGGACGACGAAGTTGACGATCAAGAAGACGAATGGAAAGCCAGAAACGATGAAGAAGAAAGAACTGCTGTGGAAACTCCGTGGAAACCTCCAACGCATTCTCGGTGCTACCCGACGAATGTGAGTCTACTACTGGGATCGTCACGACGAACGACAACAAGGAAGGTAAGAATATTGTTGTTGTTGGGGATAGCCAGGTTAGATACATGGATAGGGCATTCTGCTTGAAGGACAGGAGTAGGAGACAAAGGGTATGCTTTCCTGGGGCTGGGATGGAGGACATTGTTAGCCGGCTTGACAACATCATGAACGGTAATGGGATCAATCCTATTATTTGCCTCAGTGCTGGAGGCAATGATGTAGGCAAGCGTAGAAGTGAGTTTTAGTTAGAAAGTTCAGGACAGCTATAGACATGATTAGGAAGAAGGGGGGGCGCCCTGTTATATGTGGCATTTTGCCAAGAAGAGGTGTTGGTAATGAATGGTTGTCCAGAGCAATTGGTGTCAATTGCTGGCTGGACAAATACTGTAAGGAAAATGCGGTGACATTCATTGACAACTGGGACCTCTTCTATGGCAGAAATGACATGTATGCCAGGGATGGGGTTCACTTATCTAGGTGTGGGGTGGGAGCACTGGCCAACGCAGTGGAGGGAGCTGTTAGGTCTTTAAACTAGGAATAGTTAGTGGTATGGGTTTCTGCGGGAAAACTGTGAAGTCTAAAGGGTAGTAATATGAGTACTAGGAAACTAGTAATAGGCAAAATGAGGTGGATATCGGAAAGCCAGTGGCACTAATTGACAAGGACAGTAATAGGTTTAGTGGAATAACAGAAAGGAGCAGGAATGATAAAGAGAAAGGAGGGTCCTTAAGTATATATTACACAAATAGTCGCAGTGCTAGGAATAAGATGGACGAGTTGAGACTAGTTGCTAGTGCAGGTAACATAGATGTATTTGCCATT